TGTTCCTAAAATAACGTTTAGGACTCGATATGGTCATTATAAGTTTGTTGTAATATCGTATGTGTTAACTAATACACCTACAACGTTTATGGACCTGATGAATAGAGTTTTCCAACTATACCTTGATCAGTTAGTGGTCATCTTTATTGATGACAACTTAGTGTATTCTAAGTCGAAAGAGGAGCATGATGTCCATCTTCGTGTAGTTCTTCAATGTTGCGGGATAAGAAACGTTTTGCAAAGTTCTCAAAATATGAGTTTTGGCTGTCAGAAGTGAGATTCCTTGGACATGTAGTTTCTGCTAAGGGGATTCGGGTGGATCCTCAAAAAGTTAAAGCTGTACTAGAATGGGAGATTCTGAAAAATATGTCAGAAGTTCGAAGTTTCTTGGGTCTAATAGGTTATTATCGAATGTTTGTTCAAAACTTTTCGATGATATCTCTACCTTTAACCAAATTATTAAGAAAATATATACATTTTGAATGGACTCCTGATTGCCAGAAGAGATTTGAAACATTGAAGAAAGTTTTGATTGAAGCTCCGGTGTTGGTACAACCGAAATCAAACAAGGATTTCACAATTTTCAGTGACGTTTCCTATAATGGTTTGGGATGTGTCCTAATGCAATATGGGAAATTAGTTGCTTATGCTTTGAGACAGCTGAAGCCTCATGAAAAAAAGTATCCTACGCATGATCTGGAGTTAGCAGTTGTGGTCTTTGCATTGAAAATTTGGAGGCACTATTTATATGGTGAACGTTGTTATACCTTCACCGATCATAAGAGTTAGAAGTACTTGTTGACGCAAAAAGAGTTAAATTTGAGGCAAATAAGAAGGTTGGAGTTGCTGAAAGATTATGATGCAATCATTGATTACTATCCCGGGAAAGCCAACGTAGTAGCGGATGTTCTTAGTTGGAAGACTTATACCGCTTTATGCAATTTGGACATTCGAATTATGTTAAAGGAAAATGGTGCATTGATGGCTGAATTAATGTTGAAGCCATTATTGTTAGAGTGTATTAAGGAGTTGCAGAAGAAATTTGATAGGTGCTTAAATTGGTTCGAGCAAGTAGAGAAATGTGGAATCAGAGATTTTGAGGTTAAGTCGAATGGGTGTTTATATTTCAAAAATCGTGTGTATGTTCCTAATGATTGTGAGCTGAGACGAGATATTTTGAATGAAGCACATTATAGTCCCTTAACAATGTACCCAGGAGGAAATAAGATGTATCAAGATTTAAAAGAACGTTTTTGGTAGCCCGACATGAAGAAAGATATTACAGAATTTGTAACAAAGTGCTTAAATTGTTAACAAGTAAAAGTTGAACATCAGGTGCCTTTGGGTCTGTTGCAACCCATCTCAATTCCTCAGTGGAAATGGGAAAACATTACAATGGATTTTGTAACCGGGTTGCCATTATCTCGAGGGAAAAAGGATTCGATTTGGGTAATTATAGATTGCCTTATAAAGACAACGTATTTCATCCCTGTATGGACAGATTTCTCTTTGGAGAAACATGCGGAATTGTATATTAAAGAGATAGTGCGACTTCATGGCATTCTAATTTCGATCGTTTCTGATAGAGATCCCAGATTCACTTCAAGATTTTGGAAATCTTTGCAAGGAGCTTTGGGTACCCGGTTGAATTTTAGTATTGCGTTTCATCCTCATACCGATGGGTAATCAGAGCGAACAATTCAGATTTTGGAAGATATGTTGAGAGCGTATGTGATCGATTTTGCTGGATCGTGGGAAAAATATTTGTCGCTTGTGGAATTTTCTTATAATAACAGTTATCAATGCAGCATCAAGATGGCACTGTATGAAGCATTATATGGAAGGAAGTGCAGAACGCCACCCATTGGTATGAGTTAAGGGATAGAGAAGTGCATGGTCCATATTTGATTAAAGAAGTAGAAGAAAAGGTTCAAGTGATTCAGCACAATTTGAAGGTGGCTTCAGATAGCCAAAAGTCATACACTGATTTGAAAAGAAAAGCGATTGAATTTCAAGTAAGAGATAATGTGTTTTTAAAGGTATCACCTTGAAAGAAAGTGCTTTGTTTTGGGGTGTAAAGAAAAGTTAAGTCCAAGGTTCATTGGACCTTACGAAATTCTGAAAAGAGTTGGACCTGTAGCCTATCAGTTAGTGTTGTCACCAGAGATGGAAAAGATTCACAATGTCTTCCATATGTCGATGCTTTGTGGGTATCAATCAGATCCTGCACACATCATAACTCCAGATGAAATAGAAGTTCAATTTGATTTGACATATGAGGAAGAACCAGTTCAGATTCTAGCTTTTGAGAATAAGCAATTGTGGAATATGACGATTCCACTAATTAAGGTTCTTTGGAGGAACAATAAAGTAGAAGAAGCTACGTGGGAGCGTGAAGAAGATATGAGGATGCAATATCCCACCTTTTTTTGCAATGAAAATTCGAGGACGAATTTTCTTAAGGGGGAATATTTGTAACAACCCAATTAGCAGGTCAGTGACCAAAATGTAAGACTTTTAAACTCAGTTGTTAAATTAGAATAAAGTGCTAAGTTTAGTGATTTATGGTGGAATATTTGTGTAGGGCTAAGAGCAATTTTGTTATAATTGAGAGGGAAATATGGTCTTTTGATAATAAAGGATTATTATCTCCTTTATTTAGGATATAAGAATGGGTTTAAAGGCATCTAGAATTATTTCTTTCTTTCTTCTTCTTGTCGTGCACTACCTCATCCAAAGGTAAGTTTTTCAAATCTGTTGGTTTCTTCGAATTTTGGTTTGCTAATGGAAGTTTGGATGTTATATAAGCTTAAGGAAAGCTTATATAGCATTAAAACATCAATATGAGTGTTTTAGAGATGGATTTGTAAAATGGGTTTTAGATAAATTATTAATATAGTGTAGTTTTTGAAGTTTTAATTGGATATTTGACTTGTCAATAGGCCAATTAAAGGGCTAGGAGTGTTATAATTGGTTAATAACATGGTTGAAATTTTAGTATGGTTTGAAGATTTAAGTGTTCAAACAAGAATTTGGGATGTTTGAGAGTAGTAAATGTGTACAAGTTGGTTTAGAAGTATAAAGGTGAGTTTATAAACTTAAAGTATGTATTTAGGAGAGTGTTGGAAGGATTTTTATGTGATTTTCGGGTTGAAAATGGTCATTTTGAGCTTAGGGTATCGGCACACTTATGAACAAATATCGATACCTCATGGGTTAGATATGAGTAATTGTAGAGGGTTATATCGATACCTGTTGATAGAGGCATCGATACAGTAAGGGTAGTATCAATACCTGAAGGATGGTATCGATACTTTTAAAACATCGAATGCCATATTGGTATCGGTACCTTGAGGAGGTATCGATACCCTTGAAACATCGAATGTTATTTCGGTATCGATACCATGAGGAGGTATCGATACCCTTGAAGGGTAATATCGGTATCATTAGGGTAGTACCTATACCTCCAAGCATGAAATGAAATATAAGGTTTCTTGCATCTCAAATTTTTATGATTCGATATAATTGAGTTAAAGAACGATAATGATTTTTAAGATTGATTTGGGTTGAGGATAGCATACACTTCAGAAGATCATATCATAACAAATTAAATGTAGGTTTTTTTTCATATTGTAAACAGTTGACATGTATTATACATTTAATTTGAAATGCTCTGATCGATTTTGTAAACATATATTTTATTTTGTAAACCATCAAAGTTTTATGCAATCACGAATGTCATATGTTTATCTTATATAAATTAATGTTTACACATTTTTATCTTGATTATAAATTACAAATTATTTTTATTCGTTAATTTCATATGTTTGAAAAGTCAATGTGACACCTCGTATTCGTATCCGGGTCGGGTATAGGTCAGGGGTGTTACAGATAATTTAAATAAATTAATAAATTTAAACTTAATTATAATTTAAACAAAGTTTAACATTATATTCGATTCGATTTGATGATAAATTTCAAATATAAAAAGCTACATTTTTTATATACTATTTTATTTTCCACTACAATCACGAACTATATAGTTGCCACATTTTTATTTTTCATATTTTTTCATTCCTCTCTCGAATTCGTTCGTTACGTCGGATTGGTAAATATCAATTATTATTATTATTATTATTATTATTATTATTATTATTATTATCATCTTCTTCAAGTTTACTCTTATGATACTAAACTATTAATTTTATTGCCTCCTTTACAACACATCCTCATTTAAAGACGAGCTTGAATCCCAATCGTTGGAGTCAAAGTCGGAAGACCCAAAAATAAAGTTCAAAACCACAAAAAATTTCCCACATATACATGATTTTGAATAACTAAAAGAGAATGTGAGGAAAAAAACTTGTAGGGGGCTATTTATACAATTCCTAACACCCTATCAGAGTTTATATTTAATGGATATCACATTACACGAAATATGAGGTCCACGGGGTTCCTGGCTTGGATTCCTAACATGGTAGGACCTCTCTTTCTACCAAACGTGAGGTCCATTATTTTGTATAAAAATAGATTTTTGAAATCATAAGTTAGGTGAAGTAATGTATCTTTTGTATTTTGTCCAATTCACTAAATATATTTTTAAAATTTCGATCAACTAAAAATGTAACTAGAGTTCGATTAACTAAAGAAACATTATGATCAAGTTTTTAAACATTATATAATTTTTCATTTCAAGTAAAAAAATAACTAATTATGCTTTTGTCCACCTATACCACATTGTTATGGACGAAGAGCCTGACACGGATTCCTACGAATCAATCTATCTTTATCAGCATCAACATCACCATTATCATCACGATCACCATAATCATTGTCATTGTCATCGCCATCTACATATGCAATACCATAACTGGCACTAGGACCGAGATCGGTGTAGAATATGCTCTGGGACGACATCTTCTAAACACTATCGAATCCGAATTCTGTTACTAATGGTGAAAATTAAAATATTGATGGTGGAACAGATACATATGAAAGTGATGGATAATGTGGTTGAATTGGTACATGAAGGTAATATGAAGGAAAAACCATCAGACAAGAATAAAATGCGTCAGTGAAAAAACCTTCCATCAGAGGCAACATATACTGAAATAATGTTTGACTCCCTATGTGGTAAAATGTTGACTGAGTCGAGTGGGTGAATGCAGGTGATGGCACCATTGTCTAATGCTCTTCTGTTGGTTGTACAAGTGCATGTGTTGTTCTCGATGATGAGGCTGAAGCGTGTTTTCTTCTTCTCTGGTTTGATTTTCTTCCACCTCTTCCACCACGTTACGTCGGTGGATGTTGTATCGGCAGGCAGTTTGGGGGATGTACATAAATTTCACGTGATCGCTCCTCTTTGGTCGATATATGTGGCTTCCCATTTTGTTTGTATCACAATATATAAACATATGAAACACTATGGTCGAAGATGGGTTGACAAATGAGTCGTCGCCTATCCAATATTGTCGTCCCCAGAACACCCATATCGAATGATGATGGTCTCAATTAACATCCATCTTCTTATGTCGCATTAAGTGATGTAATTCGTTCAAGTCTGGTGGTGGTAGTGGAATCATTTGGACATATTTAAATTGTCACAGCATGTGATCGATAGGATGCCACTCGACTATCTCATAGAGTATCAACAGAACAGTCAACACCCAAACGCCCGAACTGATACCTATTTCATCCGAAGTATATTTTATAATAGTATCATCATTGTGCAACATCCACATGAACTACAAGAAAAAAATAAACTAAGTTAGATAAACTTGAATTAAAAAATGATTTTTAAATTAAAAAAATCAAATCAAATATAATTATTACATCGTATGTCATCTTATCGATCAACAATCTAAAATCACGTAGAGTTTTTGATAGGTGGGTGTGAGATAGTATACCAATTCACATATCATTCATATAACAAAATAGAATTATTTTTCATATTATAAAAAAAGTGTAATGATCTAAATATATAAATCTAGTTTATTTTTAATTAACTCCGAAGTAGTGGAAAGTGAAATGGGTCAGTTCTTTAAGAATTGGGTGTAAAAACAACATTCGGAACCAAGCCCACGATTGCAACAACTTCAAATCGCGAGGAGAAATTCTGAGCAGTTTCTCACACAAGTCATACCATAGCCTCGACAACATTGATAATAGTTGTTTCGTCAATAGACAACCCAAGATGGAATGCAACATCTTGAAGGGTAATAGTCGTCTTCCCCACAAGGAAAATGAAACATGTGTGTTATGCAACTTGCTACCACAAATTATACTGCTAACGTAATCAAAACAGACTTTATGCAAATACGGAAGAATATCATCTTTAGGTGGTGTGAAACGATTGATATAACACGTACGTTGATACCCCTTCAAATAAAAATTTTAAAAAATAAAATTTAAATAATTAAATAAAAAATTACCTCTAGATTTATCCGCTAATAATTGAAACACGTGTCTTTGATCAAGCCTTAATAATCCTGCCATAACAAATAATCAGATTTTTAAAGTAATAAATAAACTGCTTAGAGGAGGAAATCGAGAGAGAATTCAGTGTGAGGATTTTGGGTGGATGTGCACCATATTTATAGGAGTCCTTGTACCCCTTACGAAGTGATGTTATTGGGACCTCACATGATGCGAGGCGTGAGGTCCATTGAAAAGACACGTATTTAACTTTTCATACGAACCTCACGCTCTGTAAGACATGAGGTCTTAGAGAATTTAATTTCAAATTTCAAATTTTATTTTGAAGAACGCGATAAATTGTTGAGACGCTTCAATTTCTCATGGACCTCGTAGTTTGTAGAACACGAGATCATTTATCATAATATTAAATTATATTCTTTGAAAAGTGTTTCCACGTTAGACGGTTCTCGTGCCCTATAAAATGCGAGGTTCTTATACGTGTTTTGTAGGACACGAGGTAATCCTACATGTGTAGCTTGGGGTATTTTTCCAATTAATGATATTTTGGGTTTTTTTCTAATAAATGATTTTTTTAGGGTTTCTAATAAATATATCATGTTTACAAGTGGTAGCATATGTTCCAAAAATTATCCTTCATTTAATAATAAATGCTCAAATACTTTGCAATAGCTAGTATTTAAACTCAGATCTTTAGAGATAATAATTATCATTCACTCATTTTTTTATTCGTATAAAATTAAAATAATTTTATAATTAAATGATTGTGAATGTAGTTTACTAACAAAATACCAAGGGGTTTCACAAATATAAATATGGATTCCATAGTACAAGACTTTCATTTTCAATAACCTTCAAAAAAAAGTACAGTAACAATTGTACGGATTAATTTATCTAACTGGTTGTCGCAAACCGTCTTTCAGTTGGGCACGGAATTGGGCTTCAACTTGAATAATTGGGATAAAGTCCCACTGATCATTTTAAAACGATATTTAGGTAGATCGGACACCATCTTACATGATTTACGTCTTACCATAAATGTGTCGGGTTCGGGAGTCAGTTACAGTCAATGAATGATTAACACCCTTGAACTGCCCTTTCGGTACCAATTAATTTGTCGGTTGTCTTAATTGCGAAAAAAATAAAATTTAAAATTTAAAAACCCAATTCCAATTACTTACCTTCGATTGGTTTAAAAGCACACTCCTTAAAAGGTAAAAAAATGTTAGATAAATAAAATAAAATGAATAAAATAAATAAAATAAAATAAAATAAATAAAGAAATTTATAATATAAGAAAAAACTAAAATTACAACTAAAGAAATAAATAAAATAAAGAAACATGAACAAAAATAAAATAGGTGAGAACAAGAATAAAAATAATAATTATGATAATAATAAAAATAAAACAAAAAGACCCCAAAAAATAAAAATAAATAAATAAAAGTGTATATATATATATATAATAATAATAAACAATATATACACATAAAAATGATAAAAAACATATATACAAAAGTAACAATAAAATATAAAAAATAAATAAAACGTGAAAATAAAAAGGACTAATTTGAAAGAAAAATGAAATTGGGGGATAAAATTAAAAGTGAAATTAGGGTTAAATTTGAATTAAGGGGCCAAAATGAAAGCTTACAAAGAACGAGGGACTAAAAGGGAATTATCCCTTTCCTGCACGAAAACACGCGGACGCTAGGTCAGGGTGCACGGGTCGGTCCAATGGGTACACGGGTCGCATATAAAACCCAAAATCAAGCCTAAAAAAATCATTTTACTCATTCTCTCAAAATAAACAACTCTCTTCTCCCCCAAATCCTCTCAACTCTCCCCATCCCCGGTGGAAACCCGGCCACCACTCCAATGGTCAACCGCCGATAGCCGCCGCCGGAAATCGCTCCGGTCGTCATTGCTAGCGGCCGAACAAACCCGAAACCTCACCAAATGCTCTTCTCGTCACTCTGAATACAAAATCAAAACCCAAATCGCCTAAAACTGCTTCGAATGATGTAGATCTAGCCCGAAAGGTTCGGTTTTTACCTTTCTCGGTGTGTCTCTTCGGCTTCCCGGTGAGCTTTCCTCTTTGTAGCCTCGAATGCCTTTTTGTATGGTAGGCTTCGCTTGTTTTTTTGTGTAATTGTTTTGGGTTTTTTTTGTTGTTTTGGGACTTCGACCTTTGGTTGTTGATTTGTATTTTTGGTACTGTGATGATGTTGTATTTTTGTGGCTTTGTTGTTGATCGTTGATGTCCTTTTGCATGGCCTCACCGGGGGCTTTTTATAGTCTCGGTGTTGGTTGTTTTGGTCCCGAAATGAGTGGGTTGTTCCGAGATCTTCGTGCACGCCGTTCGTGTGACCAGTCATCCCGGGATACCGACTGGCCGTTTCGGACTTGACCTTTGATTTTTTTACTGTGCGACGCTATTTACCATTGTTGGAAACCCTAACCCGGGATTGGGTTGGGTCAAGCCCAAACCCGGTTGGACTTCTGTTGGACCGTTTAGACCCTAGCTTTGGATCTAGACCAAAAAAAAGAAAATAAAAAAGGAATTAATAAAATATATAATAAACAAATAAAAAAGAAAAAATAATGATAAAAATAATAAAAAAGAAATTTAAAACTATATATTATATATATCATTTTTAAAAAGTTTTCATACTATACATTATATAGTTTTCAAAATGTTTTAAAAATCATTTATTATATATATATTCAAAATGCATTTTTTAAAAACTATATATTATAATGATTTCAAAACTATATATTATAATTTTTTCAAAATGTTTTACAAAATATATATTATATAAGTTTTCAAAATGTTTTAAAAATCATATATTATATTAATATTATATATATATATATATATATATATATATTATATAAGTTTTTAAAGATTATAAATTTGTGTACCAACAATTGTAAGAGTAATTGAATATTCATTATCAAATGATTGAAAATATTTAAATTAAATACTATTTTATAATAGCTTTAGCTTAAAAAAAACACAAACAATCAAGGATCTCACTTTGAACCCTCTGATAATGTTTACCAAATTTCAATCGATCAAATCAAGTGTCTAAGGGGGAAAAACCAAAGAAGAAAACATTAACTTCTACGTAAATATCGAAATCTTTTCATTTGATCCCAGTCTTTCAGGGAAACCCCAAATTGAGAAAAGGTGTGTTGTTTCCCCCCCCCCTCATTCGATCATGTTATTTCTCGATGAGTGGAATGAACTTTGTGCGTGTTTTTGAATGTTTGATTTTCTTCCCTGTTTTGTTTCCAAGCTTTCATTTTTTTTATCGCATGAATAACTTTGATTAACAATTGCAGTGGTAATGCAAGGAAAGCAATTGAGGCAATGAGGCTGATTTTAACAACATTTGCTGGAGCTATGTTTGGCTTCCTTTTAGGACTAATATTACCAAATCTTTCAGTAAAGGTTACACTGCTCTGTCTCTCACTGTTTCATTACATTTGTAGTTGTTCCTAATTCACTTTCCATGTGTTTCTTCAACATTAAACTGGCAACTTTATTTCATTACATTTGAATCTTTGGTAGATGAATCTCCCATCCACCTTATTTCCTTCCATTAATCTTTCAACTCAAGCACTCTTCAATGCTGTGAATTCTTTCAAGGCTCATATGGTTGTCTCGGCGCCATCTAACAAAATCAACCGATCAATGGTAGTTCCTTTTTTATTCTACAAACATACATGTATGTATGTTTTATATTGAATTATGTGAATTAGTCTCATATATACATATATGTATGTATGTTTCTGGTAATTCCTTAATTATGGCAGATATGGATTCCAACAAATCCAAAGGGTGCCGAAGGACTTCCCCCTGGTATAGTTTCTCCGATGTCGGATATATATCCTCGCCGATTATGGGGTAAGCCAAATGAGGTATGCATCTTTTTCTATGTGTATTTATCCTATTCTAGGATATCTCAGCTATATTTTTCGGAATCGGTGTTATTGTCGAACATGAGTCTGTCTACTTTTTCCCCAAGATTCATCATCGGAGCATCTTTGGACAATCGAATCTCAAAACCATGTCTGTATTAGACCAGAAACAACGATTTATATATATGTAATATGTTATTGTTTCTCTACTATATTCCTGTTGATGGGTTTGCATCTGCAGGACTTTGGCATCGCACCAAAGTATCTTGTAGCGTTTACTGTTGGTTATACACAGAAAGAAAGCGTTAATGCAGCTGTGGAAAAGGCCAGTCCTCTCTCTCATTACTCTCGTGCAAACATATACACATGTATGCACTATGTTACCGTGATTCTTCATCTTCGAGTATTTGAGTTCGAAATTTATTCGAACAAGGGTAAATAGGTATGAGGTTATGGACTTCCGAGAATTCTCCAAATACACGAAAAGACGTTTACACTCGAGTCGAATACGTATCCAAATACCCATATCCAACACTAGCATATATGTATGTTATGTATATATTGTTGCTTCTGTTGTCTCACATGTCTATACTCTATTCCTCCTCTATTTACTTCAACAGTTCTCAGAAAACTTCACAATTGTATTGTTCCATTATGATGGACAAACCAGTGAATGGGATGAGTTTGGGTGGTCAAGGAAAGCCGTTCACGTGAGTGCTCGAAAGCAGAGTAAATGGTTAGCAAGAAACTATTCCTTTAGCTTTCACAAATGATAATACGCGCGCGCACATATATATATATATATATATATATATATATAAGCTCTGGTTATGTTATATTGCACTGAAAAATTCCATTAAAATTTCGATAAGGTGGTATGCCAAGCGCTTTTTGCACCCTGATATTGTTGCACCATATGATTACATTTTTATATGGGATGAAGATCTTGGTGTACAACACTTCAATGCTGAGGAGTAAGTCCTTAACTTCACTGAAAAACTCCATTAAAACTATGTTGCTCCGACTTTTCATTTTTCCAAATAGATCGAGTCCGAGTAACATGGGTAGAAAATACATATGTGAAAATGAACTGAAACTACTATTGACTCTCAGATACCTAAAAATTGTGAGGAAACATGGGTTAGAGATATCCCAACCGGGGTTAGGTCCATGCAGTGTCGGACGGACATGGGCGATGACGATGAAGAAAGATGGCACTGAAGTTCACAAGGAAGAACTTTTTACTTTATATTGACTGCTTGATATCTGTTGAGAATGGATAGAGAATGTAGTTTGATTTTGGGTTGCTAATAATCTGTAGGAACACTGAGGAGAGACCTGGGTGGTGTACTGATTCATATTCGCCTCCATGTGCAGCGTAAACATTATTAATACATACATATACATGTGTGTGTGTGTGTGTGTGTTGGGAACTCAAAGTCTAACATATTTGATCACAGCTTTGTTGAGATAAGGGTTACTGTGTTCTCTCGAAATGCATGGCGATGTGTTTGGCATATGATTCAGGTAAAACAAAATGAGCTTAAATTCAACTCAGTTTTCATATTTCTCCTTCTTTTTCTTTTTCCTGGTTTATGACATACAACTCTCCATAAAAATGCCAGAATGACTTGATTCATGGATGGGGTCTGGATTTTAATATGAGAAGATGTGTCGAGGTTAGCTACTTTCTAACAATTATTCAACTTATATATAAAATGATTATGGGTCAGAAGATGTATATATACACATAACGAAGGGTTGTGTTGATGTTATATTACACGAGGAAATTGGCAAGTACAGGAGATCTAAAGTAATATCGAAAATTGAAGAAAACAAGAAGATCATAGAATTCCGACTAATTTCTAATCTTAATCCTTAGTATCAATTTATAGAGATGATTATTTGATTACAAAAGAAACTTGCATAATAAGAAATCTACTCAAACAAGATTTTCTACCCTAAATCAACGTCTAATGGTAGAAATATAATCCTATAAGGATTTAAATTGTGGAGTTCAGTCTCATACCCTTAGTCGAGATCAATGTTGAATGAGGATTCGTGGTAGGTTATAGCCTCAAACTTTCGATCTTCCATCCCCGTGGATGTTCTATTCTTTACCAAACAAGTTGCATAGTGAATTTTTCAGTTTGAATCACCAAAACCCTAACAGTTGATATTTGCTTAATCATGTGAAGCAGCCTCCACATGAGAAAATAGGCGTTGTAGATGCTCAGTGGATTGTACATGAAGGTATTGCTACCCAGGTATCTTAAAACCCCTTTTAAACCATTTTATATATTTTGCTGATTTCCCATTCTGCTCCCTACAGCAATTACCTTATTATTTCTGTTTGTTTTCAATAAAATTTTCAAGGGTCCAGGTGAGACCGGAATGACACCAGTTGAAAAGGTATGCCCAAAAATTCCTATCTTCCCCAACCCCCATCCCAGCCAAGTTTAAACATCCGGTCACTATGTCCTACATTCTTCATCTTCGAATATTGATGACAGAAAAGCCAGACAAGCATTTGTTGCGACCGTTATTTAAATTTGTTTTACGAGTGATAATGACTTCAAAGTTTTGGTGTAGCAGATAAGGCAAAGGTGTAAGCATGAATGGGTTATATTCCAGAACAGGATGAGAAATGCTGAGAAAGAATATTATGCTGAACTCGGTGTCAGTCCTTCCAATTTTACAAGATAGGCGTCTGGTTTATTTTTTTAGAAGCTTAATCTACAAACGTTTCATTCTTTCTGAGATAATAAAGACCATAATTTAATTAGTCGATCCAACTCTAAAATAAATTGTACAATTACCCATTATGTGCACAAATTTAGCTGATATCACCCTTACCAGGCAAACCTAAAGAGAGGATGAAGACGACGTCATTTGACTGTACTAACACAAGCTACATCAGTCTTCTTCCTCTTCATCATCTTCGGGGAACCCCGTATCGTCTCCGATGCCTTCAAGCAGTTTGTTGACATCGAAACCTAATTCGGATAACCTTGCACTCAATTTTTCCACCTTGTTCTGTTCTTGCCCGAGGCACACGAGTAAATCATTTAGCTCTGCTTCGTTTTCCTTCTGGGCTTCTTCGTGAGCTTTGGCCTTTATTGCCTCGATATCAGGAGTGGTTGATGTCTCTCCATTCTTCAAGGCTTCTATCTGTTTCCCGAGGTGGTGATTGGTCTGTTCAAGACTATTGTAAGCATCTGATAGACTCTTAAGATCGTACTCCAGCTTCCCGGCTGAATTCTAGTACATAGATGCTTCTGATTCAATCTTAGCTTTCTCTGTCTTGAGCATCTCTATTTGTTGCAATGACTGCTGAAGATCTCGACCAAGTGTTTCTGCTTGGACGTGGTCTGAGCCACTGCCCACCCTTAGCTCGGTTTGAGAGTTCCCACTCTGACCTTCCCTCGTCAAATGCTCGGCCAAAGTGGCATTTTGGCCGAGAAGTTTCTAGTAATGAAAAGAACAAGGGAAACAGATCAGATAGGTAAAAACCAGATGACACCCATCCATTTGTTTCTCCATAAATGCTTTGTATTACCTGAATCTCAGAGCATTGTTTCTCCATAAATGTTTTTAGCCGCTTGACGTAGTCCTTGTCACTTTCTACATCCATTTGTTCCATTTCTGCAGGCACCACTACCACGTCAGACTTGGGGTGACTATAATCGTCTATGATGTTCTCTCTAAAATGCACTTCCAAACTCTTCACGTAATTAACAAACTGAGAATCAAAAATTGATGTGAGGATCGGATGACCCTCATTTTTCGGATCCGACAAATCCTGCCATAATGGCAGCAGCAAATCTAGTCAACGGTTTGTGGGACTCAGCTGACTTTGCCGATGAGTAAAGGAAGCTTCTCTGCATCTCATCGAACTTCAGAAAGTACGATGTAAGACCAATTTTTTGGCGTATGGCATCAACTATGGTAACACCATCCTTTCCGCTTTCACTAGATTTATTGTAAATCACACAATCTCCCAAGATAACTGCAGCCAGCCCTCTAACACACACGGCCGAAGATGCATTTGAGACCAACTCAAGCAGATACGTTAAGTGGGGGCCTGAATCTAAGAAGCATTGCACTGCACTTGGGAAATCTGTTAGCCAAGTGACAAGCAGTTTCAAGATAATTGGTTGAACATACGAGTAACCTCGCTTCCCATCTTTATCTTTCATGGAAGAGGCAACAGCCAAGTACCTAACGATACGATGTAATAGTAGCTCTGGAGCTCCGAAGGACAGAGTTGGGGCATCAAGCTCAATTCGTAGGACCTGCACAATCTCCACCAAAATCAGATTACAGAAAAAATGAGTCATACAGTTAGCACTTGGCTCTAGATGCAAGTTTAAAAGAGAAAAAAAATTTTGACAGCATACCTTTTCTTTGCACCGAGTATTGTCCTTAAGAATATGAGTAAGAACACCAGCAGCCCTGCAACAAGTCTGTATTTCAAAATATCAGGGCTCGTTAATTCTCGTGCAGTAAGCACTAGGACGAATGAAGAAAATCTATATTTTAGATGATGTCAAAATTTATGACCTAAGTTGATGATGCAGAATGGAGAAATTAGAACATTAGGTTACCTCAAGATCACCATTGCTTTCACTCAACGCAAGCCCATGTAAGAGCATGCTGCCATATGTACAACAAAAATTAAATAATTTCATCAGAGGATGGAATATTTAGATGAAGCAAGACCGTTCTAGACTAAATAGCAAAACAACAGAGAAAAATGGAACAGAAAGGATTATGAGTAAACTACCTTCCAAATGACATGTTCACATCCTCCTCAAGGGGAGCATGGGTCATCGAAAGTGGTTGAGGAATTAATGTGGAAGCCAATGACTGTCCATCCATGTTTTTCTATAAAAAAAAATCCAAAATTTTTTTTTTGATAAGAAAAAATCCAAAATTCACAATCAAGACACAGCAGTTCACATAAATGTTAGATACTGGTAAACCACAAAGGCATAATTAGTAATCAAATAAAATATTTACTAAAGAGAGAAGGTATGGTATAAACCTCACAAAAGTTCTTAAAAACATGGTCAGCCGCAATAAACTCTTGCATACTAGATGTTCGCAAAAGGATTCGGAGAATAGAATTCAAGGCCGGTTCGACTTGCAGCTCCTCACCAAGAACTTTGCTAGAAAGAGCATCTAGATTATTGCGATTCCCAGCAACCAAATCACCAATGCACCTTAGTGCCTGGCAAACATAATCGTTAGAGAATGACCTGCAGAAATGCAGAAGAACAGACCTGGACAGTGATCTTACTGAACAGCGCACAACAATTGGAGCCCATAGAGTTTCAACCGCCAGCATTAGCAAATGGTCCGACAACTTTTTCTACAGTCAAGAAAAACACAGAAACAAGATAATCTATCAGTGAAATAGATAGCTCTTCAAGCAGTCATTTCAAACAGATATGATACGTTATGATCCTGAACTAGGATTGTTTTATTGGTGATCTTGTTTGAGTCTTTTTGAGGATCAGCTTCTGAACCTCCCATCATCAACAAATTAATAATCTCCAACGCACTGATTATTTTGATTGTCTACTGGCATGTTGTTTGTTTCATGGAGAACAACAATTCACCAGTAAGCTTGTGATATCATGTGAAAGAATCAACAGGAATTGGCAACAAAGCTATAAAAATTTGAATATCTGACCTTATGTTGAGTGAAACGGTAAGTACTTCCTCCCTTTCTCAAGAGTGATATTAATGGGTCAAAGCCAATAGTCTCTCTTATTAGTACCTAAAACCCACTTTAAATCAGTAGCAGAAAAAACCTCATAAAAGAGATTGAAAACATTGAGGAAAAAAACATGGAATAAACCTGATTTGATGTATTACCGTGAAGAAGATTCTTCAGCAGTTGAAGACAGTCCTGTTCAAGAACAATATAAGGACCACATAGAATTCACAGCATGCATGACTTAGCTAAACAACCCCGGACTAAGAAAATCAAAATGAATGGTCCAAAGCAAATCAGCCAGAATAAGTTCACTGAACTTCTAAAAATAAACTAAAAGAATCACCTGCACAACAACACCCCCTTCAGAATCTCCTTCCTGCTTAATAATACTAAAAAACTTTTCAAGTGCACCCTCGAAGAATACAATCTTTTGAATCTCCTGAAATCACAGAACTACCTTAGTTGGCATGGTAATCAAACATATGTAAGCAAGGTTAAGGTGCAAAATGAAAAACTGAATGTTAAAGGGTGGAATATGGGGTAATAAACAAGCCAAAAGCTCACCTCAGCTTCATGAGTCAAGTAAGTAAGAAGCAGTACGGCTTCATTTCGTATGACCTGAAAGGTCAACACTCAACAGCCATCAACTTCATAAAGAAGACAAGCAACCACATATATCAATTATCCCATCCAAATTATATTGTCAAACAAGTTTCAAAATTTTCATTTTCACGTTTGACAATGTAAATCCAACATGTTCTTGAAGAGTCATTGAACCACACGGGCTTACAATAAAGCAGATCATGAAATTTAACTAAATTTGCAGGAATAATCATTTGATTAAAAGGCTGAATACCTCACGGTCCATCAGCATATCCATGAGCCTAGTTATACTGTGAGGAATTGATAGAATTGCTTCCTGTAACCTGAATAGGAACTCAGCAAGAGGCTTTCGAACCGAAGCCAATAAGAAACATCTAAGCCAATAAGAAACATCTACATAGGATAGAAAGGGTTTCTGTAAGACTCATACCTCTTTTCAGAATTAGTAAGAAGGGCTGTCAAAATTTGAAGAGTGTAATATCGCACATAGAAATCCTCCTCTGACTACAAAATCACCAAGAAAGATGATAATTATGTTATTCCAAGAAGCAACTGCAATAGTATATAAAAGTTGTTCTGATCCATATAAAGAACTCTAACCAGCAAACTTAGTAGAAGAGAAATGTTCTCTGGTTCTTGGGAAAGCAAATCATTATTCATTAAAGCTGGATGAACCTCATTCGTAGGCCTTTTTGCATGATCAATTGGTCTCAAAGCACTAACAAGAGTTTCAAGGGCCCCACGAACCTGTAGAAAGGGAATGAATGCTAGTCTATCTTTTACACATTTTCAGGAAATTCTCAATAAAAAAAGTTACCTTGAGGGATAACTGGAAACAACAATATTTGGACTATAACAAAAACAGAAGTGCAATATGTTTTCCCAGGAACAATTACCACAAGATTTTTGTCATACGTAGGGAAGAAAACAGAAAAAAGGAGCAGGGTCATAAAAGAGCTAGCTCAAATAAAGGGAACAGACTCGGAAACATAAGCATTGATCGTACAACTGGACCATCCAACTTTCAAGCCAATCACTGGACCCTTCGATGCTTCGGTGATAAAACTAATGCATAATTTTCTTTTTAAACATTTTACATAATTTGGAAACTACAAGTTTAGTTCACAACTTTTATCCTCCTATAAGATAATTCAAACATCAACTCATGAAATTTTCCTCCTGAAATGATTGTTAATAATTTTTCCACCACAAAACCACAGTCCTAAAAATGCGACAAAAATATTCCCGATACTCTGCATACTGCTGAACCAAAGTTCTCCAGAGCTATCATGCATGCATTTCTGAGAAATAGTGTATAAGAAATAAAGGAACAAATAGAAAAAACATAGCAAGAAAAGGAGATCACAAATCTTTTCAACATCATTTTGTTCTCCCTTTAAGATGCCCATGAGTACAGGAAAGCCTGCTAAAATGTAAATGCTAGCCTTACTAAACAAGAGAGAAACAGATGACATGAATGGAAGAGGAATTAAATTTGAGGACTAGCTGAATTGAACAAGGTAGGAACACAAACCCATTGCTCCAAAAGCTAGCTGGCGGCATGGCTTTCAGCCACAATAGACTGGAGCTCTGTAATAGCAGTCTTCCTGTCCTCAGCCAGGACACTATTACTAATCCGATCAAGCAAGCGCTCAATGTAACTATTGACAGACACAAAAATAGTAACTCCATAGCGAAACCGGTATAAAAAGAAGAAGGTAAAGTTAACTCTTAACAGCAATTAGTTATGTTCTTACCTATCTTCACTGGAACCAGAGTTATCATTGCCAAAAACATATCCAACAACCCCCTACACAAGGACTCAACAAATTACATACACAATCCCAAAAAGAAATTCAACAACATTCACTTATGTAGTTAGTGCACAAACAACAGAATCCATTTAAGCAAACATATAGTATACAGGTATCACAAGCTTAACCTACACGCTCATAAGAGGAACAGACAACGTGATTTTAATCACTCTATTTGCTTATTTAGTCTTGAACTAAAACTAAAGTAAAACTTCAATTCTCTAAAAAAAATATAAAACTTTACTACAGTAGCATTAGCTCCAATCAACAATCAGAAAGAAAAAAAAAACACATTAAAAATAATTTAAAGAAACCTTGTAACGAGACGTCAAACTCATCTTCGAAGCTCAATTAACAAGCAATGAAAATCCTGAAGAAAAGGGAACAAAAGATTTAAGAAGTGAAAAGTTGGAACTTAATTCATGGACTAAAAAAATACTATGTGAAAAGACACCCGGAGATTTTCGAAGTTGACTGGAACTGAAAAAGACACAGATTGTCAAATTCAAGTCGGATTTTTGTTCGAGAGCGATTTCCGATCTTGAGCCCCCCCAAGAGGAACAAACGGTGTCGTTTCACTGGTCATTTAGGCCTACAAAGGCCTAGTTGTCAAATTATTATTAGTAAGATAAATGTGAAGTACCCCATATTTTCACGGAAATAATAATAAAATCAATATTAGAATTTCTGTCACAAAACTGAAATTTATTTATTTTTATCCAGTTTGAACTTCAACATTTACTAGTTTCATCTAATTTCTATTTTTTATATTTGTATATATAATATAAATTATATTACATTGGATTAAATTTAAATAACATATAATATAAATATTAAAATGTGTTAATTTTTTAATAAAATAAGAAAACAAAACATATTAAATACTTTTTGATAAACTGGATTGAATATAAAGTAATATTTGTTTAAAGACTTTTAATCATTTTACAATAAACGTTCATACTCTTAGTATTGGAACCTAAGATCTAAAAGTATAATAATAAATCTCTTAATCACTTAAAGTTGCTTAGTTTAGTTTGTACAAAAATATTAAATGTTAAATGAGAAGTAATGTATTTTTTCCCTTTTTTAGAATTTTGGCCTAAAAACACACTGGAAAAGATTTAGGCTTTTCATTTATTCTTATTCAATGCGGAACTAAATAAGAAAATTGATTTCCTATTTTTATTAGAACAGGTGTATCCTTTCTTCGGCTGTAAATGAGACGAGATAGATTGCGAACTACTCGAGATAGACTCGATCAAGACTTGATAAATACTCAGATCGAATAGACTCGACTTGAGTTCTTAGCGAACCGAAACGATCTACTTGATATTCGACTTGAAAAGCTTGAAAATATAATATATTAAGATTTTATTTTTTAAAATAAATTATTAATAATATTAATATTTATGTATTGAATTTTTTTTAAAATACAGTAAGATTTTCATGTATTTAAGATTGGTTCGAGTTTGAGACTTCAATCGATTTAAGTTTAAGAATTTTTTTTTCATTTCGAGCTTTTTCGAACTGCTCACAAGCTTCAGTTCATGATTTGGAGTTCGAGTCGAGCTTGAAAATTTTAAGCTCGCGAGTTTTCAAGTCAAGTCGAACTCAACAATACTCGAACTCGACTCGGCTCGTTTACACCCATATCCATACCCATTGTACAGATCAATTCCTTCCGTAGTTGTGTTTCTCAACACTTCAAATATAAAACCATTGGCATTTGGTGCACCTTGATATTTCAATTTATGGAAGGAGTCAGATTTTTTTACTCGTATTCGAGCACGAATGCTAAATATGAATACCGAGTCGAAGCTAACATGGATTCCCATCAATGCAACCCCTACCACCAAAAGTTCTCATCCATTAATGTATAGTTTACAGATTTTGAACTAAATTCATCTCCTTAATTTTGACATTTTTTTGCTTCTAATATCTAGCAGATTGAGACTAATTTACCTTATTGAACTTCCCCTAAAAATTAATATGGTGATAATACCCTTTGAAAGTCTAATATCAGTAACACTTATTAAAGCAGAAGAAGAAACCTCTCGGCCTATCGTCTTCCTCACCGTCTTTTGGGGTTTCCGCTACATCATCTCTGGCAGCCATCAACGAGCTTGTTCCCGGAGACTCTGGTGGAAACACAACATTCTCGGATGTTGTTCTTTTGGGAGGCATCATCAACGGCTCGGGTGGTGAAATGGTCGAGAGATAGTGTAATAGCATCTGTATGATTTGGGTGAAATTGGGCCGAGCATTCGGATCCTCTTGCCAACATGAAGTCACGATAGATGCCAAATCTTCCGGAAGGTCCTCAGCACTAGGTCGAACATTCTGAAACAACGTAGTTAAAACTCAGACCAATATGTCTATATCAGAATTCCCTACTCGCATTTGAAGAAACAAATGATTCGGTGACATTTCGAGAAACGTGAAACCGGATTTGTGACAGTAAGCATGAGCAAAGAGCCTTAATTCTGATTTGATTCCGATTCACCATCGTTAGACTTACTAAACTCCGCCTGATAGCCTCATGACCCAAATGTATAAAAATTTCTCATCCATTAAAAGGGCATCTGACAAGCTTGTACTCGAGACTATCACTACAGAACATGGCTACGCATCATTCATTACCTTAAAAGCAGCCGCATAGGCTGCTTGTAAATTCGACATGCCCTCGAACGGCAACTTGTTATGGATGAGTTCCCACAACACGATAGCAAAGCTGTACGCATCCACCTTATGATTGTAATGTTTTTTCTCTCCCTGCCTTAACGTGACTGTGCTATATAGCTGTTAGCATATTTAAAGGGGTCAGAATCTAAACATAAAAGAAAACCCGACATTTAAACAGAGGAAAAATTATCGCTCTTAAGTTCGGAATAATAATTATATTACTTCTGGAGCCATCCAGCGGTAAGTCCCGGTTTCAGCTGTCATCATTTCGGTTAATGACTCTTCACGAGCCAAGCCAAAATCCGCAAGTTTGACCGTTTTATGGCCTTCTGTCAAGATCAGGTTCTCTGCAATAGGAAAGAATATATCAAGATCATGCAAACCTATAAAAGGTGATAGTGTAATATCGCATGAGGTTGACGTAGAGGTTCACGGTCCGTTTAAAAAGGGAAACATTTGTTCCGTAAGAATAAGAAATCGTTATAAAATTAGTTCTTCTCAGCTAGTCACAGTTAATACAAGACCAGCTACATAGTATGGATATAGTGAATGCAACTCGTTGAATATAAAAGTGTGCCTGGAAAAAAGTTATAATCATACCAGGTTTCAGGTCCCGATGAATGATCCCGTGTGAGTGTAAGCATTCCATTGCACGAGCAATATCGAGTGCAAATCCTATAGCTACTTGCATGTCCAAGCACTTCGGTCGCATATTCAAAAGGTATTTCCTCAATGTCCCACCTAATAGGAGCTCAGTTACAATCACCATAAAGGGCTCCTTGCAAGCTCCAATAAACTGGAAAACAAACAAAAACTCAGCTAAATTACGAACCTATTTCAAGTTAATATAACCTAAAATTTCTGGATTTTCGGATATTCATCGAGAATATATCCACCATAATCAGAAAGAACATAAAATTCAGCAACAAGAATCAATGGGATATATAATGATTCAACAAACCTTCACCAGCTCTGCTAAGACACCAACAGAATAACTAAAACTTCCGGATTTCATGGATATTCATCGACAATACATTGACTACAACCCGAAAGAACATAAAAATCACAAAAAGAATCAATAGCATATGTAATGAATCAACAGAACTTGACAAGCCAATTTCCACTTAATAAATCCTAAAACTCTGCAGATTCAAGGATACTCATTGACAATAGCAACTATAACCCAAAAAAGTACATAATAGTTAGCAACAACAATCAACAGCATAGATAATGATTCTTCACAGGCTCTGATATGATGCGAGCCTATACACGCATATATTAACCCAAAACTTCATGGATTGACCGATATTCATCAACAATATCAACTCTAACCCGGAACGACAAAATTCAGCAACAAGAACCAATGGCAAAATCAACAAACCTTGACAAGATTTTTGTGCTGAACCCTGGATAACATTTCAACTTCCCTTGCAAACCTTCCATCTCTCCTTGCAATTTCTTCAGGGGTTTCCCCTCTTCTAACAACCTTAATAGCAACGTTTTGATTCTTGTATCTAAAAAAACATAAGTTAACCGTCATGTACTAACAGGCATTAATGATCAAATTTATCCATTTCTTTTATAAATTATTATCATATCTACTCAAATTATCAATATGATTTACACCAAAATGGTTCTAAATGGCTGGGATTCATTTAAAAGACCCAAAAGAAAAAGGAAATACTAAATTGACTTGATTAGAATTTCAAAGAGAAAATCAACTTACTTTCCTTCATATACTTTAGCATGAGCTCCTTCACCAATTTTAGGACCAACAAAAAGCTGCCGAGGATCAATCAGCCATTTAGCATCTAAATTGAAATCTTGAGTTGAAAAAAACCCATTTCCAGATCCCATCTTTTGAAACCACCCTTTATTTTAACACAATAATTAAAGAACTTCCATTTATCGATCAATCAAAAAGAAACTCTTTTGGAAAAAAGAATCCCACATTTTAAACTTAAAAAACAGAACTTTTCATAGCTGAAAATAAAAATAAAGTAACAAAAGACATGCCTTTTACTGCTACTCAAAGGCTCAAAACCTGGATTTTACTTATTTTCACAGTTTTACAACAAAAAAACCCATCCCAAAAATCATAGATTTCAGATCCAAAAACCCCACCAGCAACTGTCCTTTAATGATGGACAATGATTAAAGAAGTCCCAACAAAACAAAATTTTATTCATAAATAAAGAGGGACAACAGAAAATCAGAAAACACCCTACAGCTAAGAATCAAGCACTGAGACAAACAAAAGGAAATTAAAACAAAAGATGCAATTTTCTTCTTTTTCTTCTTTCTTAGTGAAGAAGTGAACCGTGAAAGAAGGGGGGAAAGGATTGAACTTTATAAAGAAGGTTGAAAGGAAGACTTGAATGGAGGATTGGGGTAGAGAGTGTGGATCAAGATTGATTATTTAAGATTGTAAGGAAGAAGAGTTGTTTTTGTTTTTCAACGCGGTTATATTCATTACACTGTAATGGAAACTATGGTGAATCTTTGTCATGTTTCTTTTACTTTCTCTTGGTTTTTACTCTCTCTTTTTTATTGAGATAATGGCATCAATACCCCCAAAGTTTACCAAATCTCATAATGTAATATCTTTACTTACTAAATGTTCTTTTAGACCTTTCCTTCGAATCTCAATCATTAGTTTCTTCGGCTTCACTGCACCTGACAACTGGTTAACTTCACCTTGTACTTATTCGAAACCAGTGGGGCTATGGTCGCCACTTCATCATCTTCACCATCATTTTAAAAAATAATTTAAAAATAAAAACTATATGTTTGAATTAGAAAAATAAATAAAGGATATAAAATAATTGGGTAAATTACACCATACTCACTTAACTTTACTCTCTCTCCTATTTTCCTCATCCAACTTTTAATTTTCTCAATTTATTCACTAAACTTTACAGATTTAATCATTTTGCTCACTCTGCCGTTAAATAGTTAACGATGTTATGACATGACACAAACGTCAAAACGATGTCGTTTTGAAAAACTTAAATATACACCAAAATGCCGTCGTTTTGAATCCTGTATTGAAACTACGGTGAGTAAAATAGGAGAGAGAGTAAAGTTCAGTAAGGAATTGTGTAATTTACCTTTTTTTTCCTTTTCTTCTTCATTTTCTCTTCGCCGGTCACCATGTCATTTTTATTTCAGCCACCATCCATCTTCATTGAGGGTGGTCGTTCGGTCTTAAATTTCATAAGTCGGTTTGTCTCGACCCCCTAAGTCCAAATATGGTGATTGTTTCATCGAAAAATGTCCCAAAACTCGTGAATATGAACTGAAATGTTTTGACTTCCTCACTTTCAATCTCAAATTCATGTATTTCGGAGTAAGTTCTGACAAAATGGAGGTTGGATTTAGACTTAAGGTATTGAGGTGAAACAACCCATGAAATTTAGAATTGAACAACCACCATGTACGACGGTCAACGATGGTCGGCAGAGGCATCTAGCCACCTTTTATTTTTATTTAATATTTTAATTATTTTATATTAAAAAATATCACATCATCCAAACGTTAGAGAGAAAATGGGAGAGTGAGCAAAATGATTGAGTCTGTAAGTTCAATGAGCAAATTAAACAAATTGAAAGTTGAGTGAGGAAAATAGGAGAGGGAATATAATTCAGTGAGGAATGATGTAATTTATCCAAAATAATTCGATAAATGGTTGAAAGGTTTTAAGATTTTAAGATTTTATGTAAAAAATAAATGAGATTTAATAAATTTTTTAAAAGAACGTAGTTAAACTCAAAATCATAATAAAAAAAAAGTACCTTTGAACATTTAAAAAATACCCCAAAAAATTAAATTTTTTGGAACAGTACTCCAATTGGATTTGTTAGAAAAATATCCTTAAACTACATACATATGACTACCTCGTGTCATAATAAATGCGAATAATAGTCTTTGTTGTATAAGGCGCGAGATTCATCCAACGTGGATGCTATTTTCAGAGAATGCAATTTAATATTTCAATTAATGAATTTGTTTACATAAAACGCGAGGTTCTCGAGATATCGAAAAATAATCGCATTCTCAAAATATTTTAAATTTGATTCCACAACCTTGCGTTCTAGAGAGGGCTAGGTTCTTCTACGCATCTTATGCAACGCGAGATTGTTTTTACCTCGCTTCGAGGGGTACAAGGATTCCTATAAATATGACCCCCAAGAAAACCAAATTGCTCACACCTTTCTTCCAAAAAAAATTCTCTGTATCTCATATTTTCTCTCTTATCTACTCTATTACGATTATTGTGGCAGGATTATTGAGGGTTGATCGAAGGCATGTATTCGATTATTGACGAATAAATTCGGAGGTAATTTTATTTATATATTATTTTTTTGAATAATTTATTTATTTATGTATTTCAAAAAAAAAATATTATGTATATATTTATTTTGAATTGTTTATTTATTTATTTAAAGGGGTATGAACGTTCGGTGACATATTATATCAACCATTTCACAGACCTTGATAAAGATATACTTCCGTATTTACACAAAGCCAATTTTGGTTACGTTAGCACTATAATTGGTGGTACGAAGTTGCATCCTCCACTGATAAACCCACTGCTAGAACAGCGGATACCGGAGATGCACACATTTTATTTTCTTTATGGGGAGACGACTATTACCCTTGAAGATGTTGCATTCCATCTTAGTTTGTATGTTGACGGAACGAACTACTCATACTTACACCGACAGATAGAGATATAGATGGAGGGAAGATCAAGATTAAATTTTTGGACGACAATTTTTCGAATCTACCCGCCAATGCTGCTTCAGTAAATCAGGAGGTAATTTTTGAAATCTATGTTTCTTTATTTTGATTTTTTATTTATAATATTGAAATTTTATTTTAGTTTATGTTATTGTAATTTTTTACAATAATTTTTTTTAATTTATTCGCACCATTTTTATTTTGTAGTGATTTGCTCGTGCTCATATTTTACGAGTTATTGAGGGATCTTAATATCTGATAAATCCTAGAACAAAGTGTGTCTAATGTGGTTATATCATCTATGTGTTTTATGGGACTCTAAATATAAGAGTTGGAGATTTATAGTGTTGGCCTTTTTGTTTTGAAAGCTATGCAAAGATGTTGATCCAGACAAACAAGTAATTGGAGGTTGTTTGATGTTGTTACAATCATGGGCTTGGTTTCGAATGTCTTTTTTACAGTTGATTCCTACACAGCTTACCCCATTTAAATTTCCATTACTTCAGAGGTAATTCAAAATAAACTATGTTTATATATTTAGATTATTATATTTTTTAGGGTTTTAAAAATAATTCTATTTTGTTATATGAATAATAGGTGGATTGTTACACTAACTCACGCCCACCTACCAAGAACTCTACGTGATTTAAATTGTTGATCGATAAGATGACAGACGAGGTAATCGATTTCATTTTTTGTAATTTAAAAATCATTTTAAATTCGAATTTATCTAAATTTGTTTAAAAATATTTGTGTAGTTCATGTGGACGTCGTACAATGATCATGTTATTAGATTGTGTACTCTGGCTGAAATAGGTCTCAGTTCGGGTGTTTGAATGTCGATGGTCTCGTTAACAGTCTATGAGATAGTCGAGTGGCATCTTACCAATTGCGTGTTGAGATAATTTAATTGTGTCCAAACGATTCTGTTACCACCAGAAAACTTGGACGCATTGCATCATGTAACACGATAGGGGAAGATGGATGTTAACTGGGAGATGCATCATGCGAAATGGGTGATGCAGTGGATGGCGAGATTAAATAGGCGGCCAGTTTGTCAACCCATCTTCGACTACAATGTTTCAAATGATTACATGTTATGGTACGAACAATATAGAAAGCTATATATACTGACCGAAGAGGAAAGAGCACGAGAAATTTATGTGTCTCCCCAAAAACGTCCGCTTACGCAATGTGATGGTAGAGGTGGAAAGGAATCAAGTCGGAGTATAAGAAGACACGCTCTAGCCTCGTCATCGGTAACGACAGAAGGTTTTTTACCGACACGTGGCATTCTTGTCCGACAATGGTTGTCCATTCCCATTACCTTCATGTACCAGTTCAACCATATTATATATCACTTCCGTCCGCATCTAATCCACCATTAGCAATGTTGCAGTGTTGAGCAAACATCGTCGTAGAGCACGTTATACACCAGTCTCGGTCCCAGTGTTAATGGTGGTACTGGACATGTAGATGGCAATGACGACGACGCCAACAATGATGATAATAATGATAATGAAGATAGATTCATTTGTAGGAATTATTGTCGGATTCGTCGTCCACCACGGTGCGGTACAGATGGACATAGGCATCATTAGTTGGTTTTTTTTCTTGAAATGAAAACTATGTAATGTTTGAAAAACCTTATTGTAATTTTTTAGTTAATTGAACTCTAGTTTTTCTTTTTTTTAATCGAACTTGTAAAATATATTTAGTTAATTGAACTTCAGTTTCTTTTTTTGTCAAACTTGTAATTTTTTAAATAATATTGAAAAAAACTTTTTATGTTTTAAATTATAAATTTGTTAAATAGTATTTGAATATAATGTTCAAATTTTTTAAAATTTATTAATTAAGTTTTGTTAGATCACATATTTAAAATATCAATAAAATTATACTTCAAAATGATAATTTATTTAAACACTAGTTTATAAACATAAAAAAAGAACTACATGAAGTTATAGTTAGTTGAAATGAATATAAAAGGAGCTAGAAGATGTTTTTCGTATTCTGTAGAAATGTCTAATGAAGACGAAAATGTTTTTCATAGCATATCTCGTGCTTCATCCTCTTGGTCTTGGGACAATTGAGTTGCTTTTACATTACTTGATGAAGATGCTTATTCCTCAAGTTTTACAGTCAACTCGATGTTCATACCACTGACATGTTTGTGTAATCCCTAAACATCTTTCGAAGGTACTTCCTATTTGGTAAGTTTCAGGGTTGGCTTCAGGGTCGGGCTCATCAAAAGAAACTTATACTTGCAAAAAAGCCATTTGTTGTGTTGTATATTTTTTAAGCTTCATTGAAATCAAACCATACAATTCATTTTCTTGATCTTCATGTTGAAAGTGGTGTAGAAATAAGTTATGGAATGGAACACAATTGCAAAAAAAAAATCTTGTCATTAAATTTTTTAAAATTTATTAATTAAGTTTTGTTAGATCACATATTTAAAATATCAATCAAATTATACTTCAAAATGATAATTTATTTAAACACTAGTTTATAAACATAAAAAAAGAACTACATGAAGTTATAGTTAGTTGAAATGAATATAAAAGGAGCTAGAAGATGTTTTTCGTATTCTGTAGAAATGTCTAATGAAGACGAAAATGTTTTTCATAGCATATCTCGTGCTTCATCCTCTTG